CAGAAAGATGCTCCTGAGTTCTGTAGATTTCACCAGTATTTGGTGCAGCAGCCTCAAATCCCGTGGAGTTTATGAAACATCTTCATTGTGTTAATGTTAACAGAGAGAAATACACTGTGGTCCATTTAAATAATAGAACTGTTGGGAGAAGCCTGGCTTGGCTTTCTTTCGGTTACTAAAAGTAATTTTTAAAAGTTCTCCCTTAATATTTTTCTTCAGCCATCTCTTTGTTTCACATTTTATGAACCAGTCAATAATTCTCTGCACTTGCTTTCGACTTGTCTAGAAGTCTGCACTGCCAGAGATTGATTGGTCTTTCTATCCAAGCAGTCTCTGTTTACCCATTTGGTCATAGACAGAAGTTTACATATTTGCTGACTTACAGTGGAAGTGTACTCTCAGTAATCTTAGTTAATAAGAAAGCAGAGCACCCTGTACTGGAAAGACAGCTATTGTCATCTTCATGTAGTAAAATTCCATGTGTCTCAATATAAGACATTCTTACAAAAAGAACCCAAAAAACTACATGATTTCCACGACTTGCTATTCTCAATAAATTTGTACATGGGTGAAAAGGACAAGGAAAGATTTTGTAGAAGATCGTGTGCTATGCACAGCATTTAGACTTCCCTTAATAACAGAAATCTTTGCATCATTGCCCAGACTGGAAAAAAAAAAAAAATGCAGGGTCACTAAAAAGAAGAGAGACAAGAAATATCTGCCTCAGGAGCTCAGCACAGGACTGTACAGAGCTGAGTTTTCACTAAGACTTGAAGTAATTTTCTTGTTCAAATTACCATCCCCTAAGAGACTCCAAAAAAAAAAAACCCTCATACAGAGTGTGGCTGAACTGCTGGCCATACCCTGACCATTTCCACTGCTTGCCATTCTATAGTAGGGCCCCAACAAGTACATCTTTGTAAATGAAATTGCCACAGGCCTTGTTATGAAGCTTTACAGTCACATGTGTCCTTCCAAGTCCCACCAAACCCTCCTTTTGTATTTGAGCAACTGAATCACAGTGGCTACCTAACAGGAAGGTCCTTTATCTCATGTACAAGGTGGTACAGCAATCTGCCACTAACATAGCTTATAGAGTTGCTTCTTTAGATTAAGTAGTAAAGGTTTTGGAGCTAGAAACTAGATCACAAAAAAGTCCTGCTGAACTCTATGAAAACTTTCCCTCAACTTGAATATGCTTTAGTTCAAGCCATTTCAACCAAATGCCTCCCATAGAGTTCTCCTGATGAATGCAGTGTTTGTACGGGGATGTGATTTGCCATGTAAACACATGATGGCCTACGATTTCTACAGAATCTCTGTCTGACAGCAACGAACTTGGTTAATCCCCTCCAGACTGTAGTTTCAACAACAAGGAGTTTTGCTTTTTACTGAGAACTGTGTGAACAGAAGATAAATTTCATAATATCTCTCTATCCTCCGCAGTCTGGCATCCCTTAACATTTCCATTACCACTTCCTCTCAGATGAATTCATTACCATGCTGAATTCTCAATAAACAAACAAACTGGTTTTCAGTCTTTTTATTTAAAAATAAATGCCGCTGTGGTGATGACTTTTTATGAAGAGCCTCAAGTGAGCAGAATTATCTGCAGTCTTTTACATAGCAAGTCTGGCCAATAATAAGCATTCAACAAACCTGCGAGGTGATTTAAATCCAAATGCTTACCTGTCCTTGGCAAATATGGCCCAGAGATGGTGATATAATACTTATCAAAAAGAGAAGTTATGAAAAATGGTTGTAGATTTGTCTGTTTAAATTTGCACAGAAGCATGCAGATAAATCTAGCTAGCTACTGTTGTACACTGGTAGATATAAGTATACTGGCTACTGTGACCAAGAGGCTCAATTTTGATTTTGTAAGATTTCCAAAATTGATTCTAATTTTTAAAAGTGCCTCATTATTTTATCTAGTTGACTATTCAGCAAAGATATTACAGCTAGAGTTTTTGTACAAAAATTTCTCCTGCATTTTAGCCAAGAGCATATCTGTGCTCAGTGAAGACATAGCATGAAGATGCCCTAAGCTTTTTCATGAGGAAAACCGGAGCTGATGTATTATTTCTGTATTATAAGTAATTGAGTAATTTGTAAGCAGTAAGCAGTAATTTATAAGAGTAAGAATTCCACTTGTTTTGTGAATGCACATCTTTGTACAAGTGAACTGACTTGAGGAAAGATTACCCTACCCACAAATCAGGCTGCATAAAGCAACCTGGAGAAGGTCACAGAATATCTTTAGTACACAGCTGGGTAGAGGAGACCAAATGGGAAGCTGCCTACAGCAACAAGTCTGTCCCTTGTTGGTGGATGCAGAGAAAAGCTTCCAAAAAATATGACAATTGCTTTCAGTTTAAATGATGTATTATTAAAATACTAAGGATGAAAAGCTACTACGGGTACAGTTATGTATAGTTACACTATTTCACCTTAGGCACTTTGCCTCCCCAGTAAGTACAGATTTATATCAGTTAAGCATTAACTATGATCTCTGAAGGAATTAAACACTATATGGAAACAAGTGTTCACAAATCACAGATCATAAATAATATTCTCCTGGAGAACAGTAGAACTTGCACAAATGTATCAGATGTATTGCCAAGTGAGAGTGGTGAAATTTGAGCTTCTGCTCAACTACACCACCAGCTGGGTGGAAGAAATCTCTTCCATCAAAAGGACTTTGACCATATTTATGTCACAGTAAAATACAGATTGCATAGGCATTTACATGCTGTATAAAAGATATGTGTTGTGTGACAATGTTCCATGTAATACGTAATCCATGAGTGCTCTCAAATCTGTCTGCTTGGCCTTACCCTCCCTTCTATAAACATCATTTAACATTCCAGTGAGGCAGTGATTTCAGCAGGATAATGAATGCATAATGCATTCTGAGATTTACAAAAGAGACAGTCAAAAGATTTGTATTTACAGAGATAAAATTACACATGTTCATGCACATATATAACAGAAAATGGAATGATAAATTATCTGGGTAATGGTAGATGATTTGTTAGTGGTAAGAACTGTGATATGTTAGACTATTCCCAGAAATCCAGAAAAGGCCTCTCCCTGTCCTTAGGTGACCTCAAGATAAATTGAGAGTTAAGTAGGGCAAGGTTATAGAAAGGACATAAAGTATTTTTTCACACTGTCAATAAGAAATAATTATTTTCACATATTTGAAATATTTCTCACAACCTTGAGTATTTAATATTAGTCAAAAATCAGCAATTAATGCTTATGCTTTCACTGCTGAAAACACTTGATAGAAATTTCACATTCCCCTTCAATATGACTTTCAGACTCTAGGAAGTGAAACTTCTCACATCTAAAAGAGGCAGAAAAAATGCCAGCTTCACAAAATAAAATCTGCTAAAGCAATCAGGCCACAGACTGAAAAATTCAGTTTGGAAGTCAAAAATGTTCAGAAGGTCTTAAGCCTGATGAAATGCACAAGCAGGGCACTGCCAGCGCAATTCGCACTGTCTTCATTCATATCTTGCTAGCTTTAGTGATCCAACTTGCTTAGCTTTCCATTTCTTCCAAGCATACTATTAAACTCTATTCCAATCCAGAATATTCTAAAAGTCCAAATTTAAAATATTTTGGGTTTCAATGTCATTATTTAAGAAACATAAAGAAATAAGCTCCCTGCCATTTTATCTTCATTGTTGCCTTTAAGGCATATTATCTTTCCTTTAAAGCATTCTCTTTCAAATTAGTGGCCTTGAGGGCATGTTGTAAGTCTTACCTATTCATAAAAATCTTTTCCTAGCAGAAAATAAGGGCTCTGTAGTTTCATCCCATATTGAAACTTTCCAAAGAAGTACTGGAAAATCCAAAATGTAAATTAAAACATTTTGGGTGCTTATAGAACAAAGTCTGGGGCCTTGATGATGTGTGATTTTAATGAAAATGAATTGTCAAAGTAACATTTTAGATGGAGTTTCCATGTTAAAACTAGAGATTTTAATATGATTTTAGAGAGATGCATTTTAAGTAGACACAACACACAATACATGAAATAATACTTGCCAGGGGACAAGACAAAATGTTTGATTTGAAATGTCATATAGCTAAATGAAGTCATTTCATTCTGATAGATAAACATTTCAGAGAACAGAGAAGCAGAAGCCAGACAAATATATTTTTTTCTGAGAAATTCAACAGAAGATGTCAAAGCAGCTATGAGTTACTCTGTGTTTACTTTAAATAGTAGGAATTAAAAGACTTACAACTACAAAAAAAAAAAAAAAAGTGGATCTGCTTCATGAATTAGGAGGTTCCTTTAGAACTTCTTCTACTTCTTCTAAAGAAAATGTTGTCATAACATGATGTTTTTAATTATGTTCTAAGAGATATTTTTTTGTGTTTCCCTTAAGTGTCTACAGATGTCCCTTGCTCAATCATTTAAAAACAAACAGATAAGCCTTTCTCGAAAATATTCTGCTCAGCAGCAGTTTTATACATCATTTATTCTCAATATTTTTATTCCTTGACAACTTCAGTTCTTTGAACTTTGGAATGAAAACAGATGATTGCTTCATATAACAAGTTTTTTTGTTCCTGCCACTTATTTTCCCATTTGTGTAATTATTCCTTGGGTTTACCAACATGATCAGGCTTAAGATACCTCTGAAATAGATTAAATAATGCAATAACATGAGCAAAATTACTTACCGCTCTGCAAAAGACGCAGTGCATAACACACTGGATCAGAGGCAGAGCTGTGTTCTGTTCTTTGTGTACGATTTTTTTTATCTACATAGCGTGCAGTCACAAAGAGAAAACCTAAAACTCTGGACCTTCTAACAAATTCCAATGGGATCTTGAAGAATCTGAGTCAAAGAAAAGATTCAGGATCCAAGACACAATTTTCAGGTAATATCATATATCTCATAATCTGTAAAAACTCCAATGTGAATTTCTCTGTGTGAATGCTTCAAAAATCATTCAGAAAATATTTTAGGGGCAAAATAGCAAATAAGCACTCCAAAAGCCTTGCTATTCTGCAGCTGCTGCAAGACATAATGAAGAGATAAATGTAGAGACATCAGTGCCTCATAGACCTGTAATAGGAACCTTCCTCTTTGCATCTTCATTGCAGTCCTTGGGAATGCTTCCTCATCTTTGACTATTGGTAGAAAATTCATATCAGGAACATACACATTTATACTGTTGGAAATTGTTTTCCAAATATGTGTTGACAAAAGAGGAAGAACAGTGAAAAAAACAGTGGATGTAATTTGTAAGCAGCAGAATCCTTCAGATTATATTACTCACATTAACATAATTCAGTGCAACTTCAACAGGAATCAGGCCACACATGCAAGACCTGGAATGAATGAATGAATGAATGAATGAGCGAACGAATTAATAAAAATACAAATAAAAAGAGCCCATGTCATTAACAATTTATAATCATTCTGATTATGCAGTGTATAACAATAAGGTAGTTACAAAGATACTGATATGTGCCTGGACAAAGCATTTTTTTTTTTATCATTGTTGTAGGTGGGAAGATTTTTCACCTAAAACATTTTGTTTTTCCAAGAGATAGTAAATTTTGTATGTGAGATGTAAAGCCACTTCCACGTAGAAGTTATTTTCCTTCCTGATAGTTGTCATAATATTGTCATATTTCTAAATTACATATATGGTTTATAGAAGAACTTATCAATAACAGTCTTTAAGTGATGGAAGCTATGTCTGGATCATTTGCTTAGTATAAAATGCTTTCACATTTTTAAAATATTATTTCAGGGATTATTTCAAATCATTCTTTATATAGTAATGTTTTGGAATTTATGTGCATAATTTCAGATCCAATTTAGAATATGATTATCAACAGAAACATTCTAGATTATGATGATCATTAAAGAAACAGGTAGTAATGGACAACTCACAAAGAGAGCTACCAAAGATAGCTAAAAATAAGTTAATTTGCAAGAAATTAGTATAACAAAAATTGTAGTGTTTACGAGATATTTAGGAAACAGGAGTAGAATCATATAGATAGAGGGACTATCCATATACACAATTTGCTACAGTTGCTGCTTCACTTGACTTTTGGATAGTTTGATTTTTTACAGTAATTCGCAGGAAGCTGCCTACAGATCTCTAGATTGTCAGGCTCATTACTGTGCAGGGAAGCACAAAAATGACTTTTTAATCTTTTGATCATAATGGATAGAAACAACAATAGAATTTTACAACCAGATATTAATATTTTCACCACACCCTCATAATATAAATTATGCCTCCAAGTCGACTTCAGAACCATTGCCCATGTACTTCACCCTTACTCATCCCTGATGAATATTTAGAGTCACAAAAAATTGCTCAGAAAAAAATATATATATGTGCTCCTGAAACAAGAAACCAGTAGCAGAAGAGAATCACAACATTGAACATACGTTTGCAATTAGAGTCCTGATTCTGCAATACCCTCAGTATTTCCTGAAAGGTTTGATGCTGAGTACTTTAACTCATGGAGTGATGTCAGTGTTTTAGTTTATTCAATAACGCATTGCTGGGGGAAGAAGACTGAACAGAGGGCTGTTTAATCAGAGATGTGCTTCAATTGCCATTCAAAGGCAGATAATAGAGGGTCACATAGCTGGAATTTGGGTTGCTTGCTGGGACTGCATGCATGTCGTGCCAACGAAGGCATTAGAGCTCTCTACCTGAAGCAGACGGAAGGCTCCTTCATGAATTAATTGTCTGGACAAGTGCCCATGGGCTACACTATCTCTCTAGGGACATTAACACACATAAAGTTGTTTTCCAAGCCAAAGAGCCACTTTACTTAACACTGATTTTGAGGATAATGTGTAGCTATGATAGCTGTCCAGATTACATTAAATGACTCTTTGGTCAGTTAATTTTGAAGCTGATATTACTCTATGCTTCTAGCAGATGATAGAATGTTAATGGTGAAATACTCTTATTTTCTTAACAATACCATGGTACATTATAATCTATTATTAACCAAAGAAGGTTATATTTGTCCTCTATATCACAAAGATATTGTCCACCAATGTTTCTCAAAGGAAAACCCCCAAGACAATACACTCTTGATAGGATAAAAATACAGTATTTTTGGAATACTCCTTTTGTATTAAAACAGACCCCAGAAGGGCTCACTTGACTCTGTGGGTATCTTCACAGAAGGCAGAATTCAAAAATCTTACCCACACCTTGTGCAACAATATAAATTGTCATTACTCTGTTTTATATTAGCTGCATGGGATTTTATGTCCATATAAACTGAGTAGAAAAGAGAACTTTCTCTGACAGCACCCTGAGAAAATTTTATTTTTTCATTTAGGTTCCATATGAAAATTTTTAACCATGAAGTTTCAAGATTCTGGGATTCTTATATAAAGGAAATTGCATACTTCCTATGTTGCTGTATTAAATACTCATCATCTATTCCTTCCTGCTCTGAAATTCAGGCACATGAATTCCATATTCCCTTCCCTTCTTTTTAAGCAGACCTCTATATATAGACACAGTTAGACTTCTATTCAAAAATCAAGCAAGATCCACTATTTCTATTTTTTAAACAAAAAATTAAATTTCCCAGACCCACACTGATATTTCTATAGAGGATTCCAGCAGAAGTAGGGAGGAGAAAGTATTTTAGAATTAGAAAATCAGAATTAGAAAATAAGCCTGGTTTCTAATACAAGACATTATAAGGAAACAGCCACACTTTGACAGAACAGAATGCAGAACAAGTCAAAGAATAAATCACAGCTTAATTCAGTCCCAAAGCATTTGGTATCTGAGCTATTCTCATTGTTAACCTTTCATTTATAATTTTCTGAATAAATTTTTCCCTGAATAATTGCAGTTAAAAAAAAAAAGAATAAGAAAAAGAAAAGTGAGCTTATGAAGTTCCATAGCCTGTGGGCAAGCATAAGCCTATTGGAATGTCCTTCCAAGCCACATTATGCTTTCTATTAAAACCCCAAATCAATCAGCCATTACAAACATTATTGTTTGGTTTCTTTTTCTGCATACAATAAAATGTGGCTTTGATTTTGTCTGAGCAGAGATCTCTTTCAGTCTTGCTTCTCTTTTAAATATATGTGAATTTGAAGGGACAAAGTGATTATAATATTTCAGATTTATGCCGCTATCAAGCAAAGTTTGATCCAAAAGTTATAGCAAAAATTTGGAAGAGCAGAATGACATAGAGCACTTTTTAATTGCATTTGTTCGTATTTATCATTATTTTTAAAAAGCAAATTTAGATTTAGCACTCATCTGACCTAACGTAAAATATACACTGAGAAGACAAAGCCTAGAACTGATTTTTATTTCCTTCTGAAATCTGTAAGGAGAGAAGATCAAAATGCTGCTATTCCCCCTCTCACTCAGAATAATATGTCACAGCCACAATATGTTTGCCGAATAAGTCCTTCGCAAAAGCATCCCTCAGAAGTCCCCTTTGGCCTCTGAGTGTTTGGCCTCTGCAACACAGCAGCTGCTTCCAGCTACTACCTGGAAGCGTCCTTCTCTTCATCTCCCTTGGCAAAACACAACCAGGGTAAGAGTAAACTAACACAGTACAGAATTTCATGCAAAAACATGAAGCCTACCAATGAGCTTCTGGTAGTACCAATGAGCTTCAGTAGTTTCTGCAATGTTGGCTTGCTGCAAGGTTTACCTTCTGCCTCTTAGGCCTGTTTCATTTTGCACTTAATGTGATTAAAACCAGTCTGCGCAGTTCCTCAGGCTTCTATCAAGGAAACAAACTCAAATTTGTAATTTGAAATATTACAAATACCTTGAAAAGAAGTCATTCTGTGAGAACAGAATGGCTGGGCTACACATTTGTCACTTGAGTTGTTACAAATGTCAACTGAAGCTTTTTATTTGGAAGCGGAGTATTAATAAGAGCTCTTTCCTCATGTGGGCCACCTGATGTCTCATAACACATAAGCAGACACTTAACTTATATCCTCATAAATTCTTACAGAGCTGTAGGAACTTCATTGTTTTGAGAGTTTGTTTAGCTGTTTGTTAAATATCTCTGCTTTTTCATCTCTCTTCATCAAAACTGACCACTGGGTTCCAAAGCTGCAAAAAGCTAACACTTAAGAAATCTTATAGCACATAGCCCAGAAAGTTTGCACTTTCTTTTTCCGGACTGTAAAATTTGCCAGATAACATCTATTGCTCTTAATCTTTCACTCTTATTTTTTCAATTCAGAAAAGTATTTGCCAAATCCAAAATAAACCTTCCTTGCACATGCCATTGTGAATAACAGTGACTTCAGAATTGGTTAACGTACAATGAAATCGCCATGGCATTTCACTTCAAACTGCAGAATACACAAAATTAGATATAACGGCCACATTCAAGTATGCTACCCTTATTCCCTCTACGAGATCAAATTCAAATATTGATGAGTGCACACTAAGCCTTGCTGAACAGAGACCTACAAAAGAGATAAACTGAGCTCTAGTACTCCTCAATGACAGTCTACAAATTTGCTTTTCTAACCACTCTGCTTTCAGCAAGGGAAATTGCCTTTATCCGTTTTGTACCCTTGAAAAGTAAAGGAGAATTGCTATAAAGAAATGCTGTAGCCCTTAGCTTCCTTGTGGTCAATTGCATGCAAAAGCTATTTGCAAAAACACTAAATTGCTTTGGTGTTTCAAGAAAATCTACTTCAAACAGTGACACAGCCAAACCCTGAATACTTAGACATTAACTTCACAGTACTGCCAGGACTACTGATTGAGTTGAAGTTTGTTTAGAGGGTGAACAGAAAGTCATGGCAAGCCACTGTTCAATAAAAAATGGAGTGAAATCTGAATTTTTGTTTGAATTCGATTCATACCTTTAGATCCGCTACGAGAAACCACTGTAAGCTCCTTTGCCACAAGAGGACATTGTGGAGGAATTGCCACCGGCTTCCTCCAGATTCAACTCAGTATCACTTAAGAGCAATCCTAGCTTGCAACAGTGGAAAAACTCCACTTTCTCTTAAGAGTCTTCTCTACTCAATATTACATCATTTTCACAGGGTTAAAAATATAACCATAAAGAGATTGTAAAGACAATTTCAAGCAATCCTGCAACACAGTTTCTTAAGATATGCAGACAATTTGCCCCACTTGAGGCACTTTCTTGTTCCAGGCACTAAATAGCTGCATGATCATCAAACTTTTGTTTCTTGTGTTTTCTCCTATTTTATGTTCAATTCTATATTCTTGTTAGTTTTATAAACGTTAAATTAATTTCTTGATCGCCATGATATTCCTTTGCAGTAAGTTGAAGATGTTACCGGTGCCTACTTTTTC